AATCTCAAGATCGACTTTTTGGGTGGACACTGCCTTTATGACCATAAGTGTGGCGGCATGCGCGCTCTACTGCAGAGCAGAAACAGGTGATCGAGGCTCTCCGTAAGACTTCCAACTTTCCGAGCGGATCTTCTATTCTTTTATGACTTCGAAGTTGTGTTTTGGTTTGTCCAAAAGCGGCCGCTTTTACAAAGCATTAGAAACCTTCACCACACCCAATCTTCCTGGGCACTGCCTCCGTACCAGTGCCGGTTCCAGAATTCCATTCGCGAAGGGGGCGGGGGACGACAAGAACTTTTTTGGAATGGGTGTGTGGCGTTAGTCATACATTGCAAAGATTTTTAGGCTTCCAAAATTTTTTCGGATCCACAGCAAATATTAGAGAAGGGGCGTCCGCGGCACCCTCCCACCAATTCGAATTACGCTTTTGCATTGGAATATTCAACTGTAGAAAAAACTGTACATTTAGTAGAAAATGTGAAGAATATCTCAACTGTCCTGGTGAAGGGCTCCGCTGCAGCCAAAGGACACCCTTGGTCTGTCACAAAATAAAAGGAAATTTTGGATTCGAAAGGCTCACCAGATGGTAAAAAGCATCACAAAGGGCGTTCAAACTGAGCATATGAAACTGAGTAGCGGGTTGTGTGGAACCTTCTTGAATCTGCTGAAGGCTTTTGATGAGATTACGGGATTCCAAGATTCATGGCTTCGTAAATTCTGTGGACAACACATTTTTTTATGAACTCGTGAAAGAATGCTTCACAAAATTTCATCAAAATTATTTTCTCCTGAATATGATGCTATCGCTCCAAAATTTCGGATACTATCATTGTTTTCAATCAAGCACTTATACGAAAGCGTTAATTATACGTAGCGCTGCGAAAGTACTTTAGGTAGCCAATAAGGGTCGATTTCCTCTTTTTTGCCTTTACATGTGGTATATATGTTGCTGAAGCTATTCTATATATAGTAGAAGCTGTTAAACCCAAGAGTTTATGTACTATCCTAGATAAGTTGATAAAACAGTTGTTTTATGAGCTTTATTAAGTTGTTCATGAAAAAAAGATCATTAAGAAATGTACAGTTAGCCTCTGATCACGGTTGTTCTGACGACTGTTGTTGGTGGTGGTTGTCCTAAAATCGTTTCTATTAGAAAAATTCCACCGCATTATCGTTTCAGAAAATTTCTTTGATGCGGGATAGAGGCTTACCGAATGGGCCTCGGTTGAATGCGAGAGGGTTAGGCTGGCCCCATCCTCCTCGGAAACCTCCTGGACCATAACCCCAAGGCTGAGGCTGTCGGTTAAATGCCGGTCCACCGCGTTGGATAACAGTACGTTCAATGACTGTGCGTTGTCGCTTTGCTCGAATGGCACCGCTAGAATGGGACCAAGTAGATTGGTATCACTTCTTTGTGATTGCATAGCTGGACATGGCTTACCTTACAGCGGCAATGGCAACGCATAGCAAGAAAAGAAGTGAGAGAGCATTCATGACGAAAGTGTAATGCTCGTTTTTCTTGCGCGCTTTTATACGTAGCTAGATGGCCTTCAGTTAACACACATTAGTCGCATAGTTAGTTATCTGCTACCCATAAATCCTTGTTCGCTCAAACACTTTGTTTACTGTAATCGCCGTTCGCAAGCTCGCCTGCTTTTGAAGTTCGCGGACTTCCGCATTGCGCCAAGGTTAATTTTTTTT